CTGTCCTGGAGGCAGGTGAGTCTTGCAATCACGTGACCTCCTACGTCGCGTGGCGCCGAAGATGGCGCGGGGTCATAATATACTGACTGGAATGTTGGACGGGAGCACAGCTGGCTCGGTTTTTTGAAAACGGGGTATATTTGACGGGTGGTCTGTTTGCGTTTGCTATCAGTCAGTCCCTCTCCACTGCAGTGACTGAAGATTATAGGTAAAAGCTTTGCCGCTGCCATCTTTAGGAGAAAATACAAAGGAGGACGCCAGATGGAAGGAATAGTTTATTATGCTTTTATCTATCGCAGAGGCTGAAGATAATGTGCAAAAGCTTTGCTGCTGCGATCCTCAGGCCCGGTTCTGTAGAGCAAAAAAAGAAGGGAGACGTTTATTCTGTACAGAGGAGGCAAAGAATAGGAATGAGGAAGTCCACTGTCGGCCGCGCTTAAGTCTGCACCGGAGCGGGGTAGTGTCCGAAGTGTGTGAGCCTGGCAGTCATGGTTTTAGGACCCTATATATTTCAACCTAAAAGAAGTGATTGTCCGGACCCAATTGGGAAAGGGAGGCGTTGGTGTGTGCGCATTTGCTACCTGCCGCACACACAGATTTTGACACCTGTTATTGGCTGTCCCGGAGACAGGTGAGGCTTGCGATCACGTGACCTCACGCATGACGTTGCGCCGAAGGTGGTACAGGGTCACTACATATCTACTGGCGCCCAGAACATTGCATTGGACCATCGGTCACTCGATGGGGGAGGGAAACGTCTGAGCTTCAAGTGGCTCCCTTTAATCGTCGGGTTTTCCGCGTGGGTTTCTTCAGGCCTGCTGAGCTAGATTGTCCGGAGTTTCGTGAACATAATGACGCAAGATATTGTAAGTTGCAGGGAACGTCAGGATACTTGTTTATGTGGCTGGAATTCGAATACCTGAAGTATTATCTTTTCACTTTCTGAGTTGCCCCGGCCTAAGAATGTATCTCTCTTGAAAATAAAATGTATGGCTAGTTTTCCCAACGCGCATGACGAGCTGATAGTTAGTATCTGGCTTCCGAGCTGATTATTTGTACTCCTGTAGGCGGGCTTGCACGTTCCACCAAGTTTTTCCGACGTATTTGCAGTTCCTCTCGTTGCAACTGTTTTTTTAGACAACTTCTGAAATTCTAGTGAGTGGCTGTGTATCCTTGATTTGCACCGAACGATGGCGAATTTGTGCTTTGTATTGATGTGCTATGTGGAACCTGGCAGGCCGTGGCATTTGGCAAACCGCCTCAGAGACACCTTTACTGTATAGAATTCCCCTCCAGACGTATGGTATTTGTAGCCAGGATACGCAGGGTTGAAGATACGGGACATGGTTTCTAAGAGCTTAACTGCATACAGAAGTTCACCGGCACGGGATGCGAACGCCTGAAGATACCCAAGAGAAATAGAAGCAAAAGTTGACGTTACGTGGGCCGGACTTCCCGTGCATTCACGGCAGTCGGCCAAAAGGAAAGACCAATGGAGTCGTGCCCACAGTCCAGCCGTGCGGACTACGTAACGTTCTCATATCAGCTGCCCACGCTCACGCCGTGAGCCGAGCAAACCAGACGACCACCCATCTAGCGAGGCAGTGTTCATACTCTAGAGGAGTGTAGACTGTCCAAGCGCACACGATACACTAGGAATATTCTGGAAGGACCGGAGCCATATAAATATGCCGGAGTGGACAAGCTGAAGGACACCGCAGCCCCTGCAGATCTCACACAGCCCACAGTTATTGTTTACTGCTAAATAAGGTCATTGCCTATCAGAGCCGCTCTCTTGGCTTCTTCTGCCTATTAGTCGTGTTCAAAATATTGAGCTATAACAACTGGCGACGCGGAACTAACTGGACTATAGCAGTTAAAAAACTAGCGGGGTGGGTGGTCGGTTGAAGCTTCACCTGTAACACAAACCGTTCTTAAGCTGTAACACTGTCTTCGGTGCTGGCATTACTGACTCACACTTCTATGGCGACCAGTATGATAGAGAGGGGCTCGGCCTCAGTAGGACTTAGGTATGGCCGAGAGTGTGTAGGTCGGGCTGGATAGCGTCACCTAGACGTAAGGCGTTTGTGGCTAGAACATCGAGAACAACGAAGGGTTCCTGTTACTTTGCGGAGTTTTCTCGCAATGGAAATGGACAGATCAGGACTCGGTAGGGGAAAACTCAGGTCGGCCGAGAGGAGGAGGAAGAGGTTGCCGTCAGTCTTAAAGCAGTGCTGGGTGAACCCCGTGGCGGAATGAACGGATCCTCGGTAGACGAAGAAAAATAGCCATCCGGAGAGAAAGCAAGTTGGGAGGTTGTATATTTTGC